CCGGACCGCTGGCGCAGTCCAATTTGTTATTGGAGGTCGTTTGGAGAAGTTTGCATTTTCACCCTTCTTTTGGGCTCAATTGAAGTCATATCTCGTGTGACGATTTTGTGCAATTTAGTGAATTTTGTGCATTTGGTGAGTGTGTGTGACGATAAAGTCATAAAGTGATCTTCCTAGGGCTCGAGATCCTATTAGGAATTTCTCCCTGAGTCTCCACACAATAGCACTTAACCGCTCGTCTATAAGACAATAATTTTGAGACCATAAATGTTAGACATCACAGGAAAATAGGAAGTGGCTGGAATTTCTAAAAGGGTGGGTTTCAAATCTAGTTTTCTAAGATGGTCAATAGAAACTTTTATAGCTAGATCCTAGGATCCTAAGGGAAGAGTAATGACCTCAAAATGAGGTCAACAACAGAGTCGTAAGTAACATCATATTTGAGACCCAATGATAACTTCCAACAAAGAATAATTTCAACCACTGTACACAAAATATGACCACTTCTTTAAAACTCTTGAAGTGTTATGTAATTTTTAAATGGACAAGTGTTGTACTTGGTGTAGCATTGTAACCCTTCTTTTTCAATTGTGAAAAAAAGGGTGTATCTTTGTAATTACACATTTATAGTGGAATATTATATTTGGGCTAGGCCCCTTGATTTTTTTCTTCTTCGGGCTTTTCCACTAAAAAAAATTATGGCGTATTCTCTTGCTACTTTTCAATCATCTTTGTGTGTGCGCGTTGAATTTACGTACTATATTGAATTTTAAATTATCACCCTATCAACGTGAATCTTTCAACACGCCGCAATAACCCCTAAAAAATGCTTTGTAAAGATTCAAAATGTTTCCAAACAGCATAATAAGCCCCCATTGTTCCATGGTCTTGAAAGCTTTGATGTTGCAGTCATTTTTCTGCATAGTAGAAACATTATTTGTAGGTTGAAATATGTGACTTGTTTATCAAAATAGAGAAACCTAATAACAAAATAGATCATTAAAACTCATGAATTTTATCCACCTAATTGAATAGGAAGCCTTCTCTAAAGGCACTTGATGAACCTAGTTGTGTCTTTGAATCACACCCAAATAATAGATTGTAACTAAAGATAGAGAAAGGTTTTTATAGAGGTAGAGCTAGATAGAATAAAGCAGAGATTAAGATACTATTCTCTTGTTGGGGATCCTTCTAAAAGGAACATATTTTACATTTACTTTCCTCTATTTATAGTTATTGGAGCTCATAAAATGGCATATTTGGGGCATCCTTATCCTATACTTTTAACCATGGGACCCCAAGATTATTGTCACCCTTTTCTCATCATAACTCGGGATCTTAGCAGAAGTCAAATTTGAGTTATACTATTAAGATAAGATGGTAAAATGTTTGTCTTGAGTGATCATCTTTCAACGACAGTTTGTGGATGCCAGGCTTCGATCGCCCGGCCTCAGCTATTTGGCCTCAATTACCTGGCATTAGTTGCTCGGCCTTGGTTACCCAACTTCAATCGATCGACCTCAATTATCTAGCCTTAGATATTTGGATTTGGTTGATCAGTTCCTTATCATTGGTAGGGGTGTCCTATTTTATGACTTATTAGTTTAAACCAGAATGGCTTCCACTGATGGATGGACTCGAGGCAATTTGATTTGCGATAACTTGAACCTTCTAATTAGTTATGACTCAAACAACTACTTTTTAGTTTTACATCTTTAGTTCTTTAGTTCTCTTATCTCTTAAGAATTTGTTCTACGATAAGAACAAAAAAATTAGCATACTATCATAGGTTGTTATCCTAGGCATGTTAAGCTAGTACCAGCGTGGAGGGTGAGAAAAGGCAAAGCTTGTATGGAAGTGCAAGAGACTCGATTCGGTCCCCAGTTAAAAAGGTTCTTCCAGGAAAACTCTAGGAACTATATTGTAACCCTTGAGCTGACTAGCATTGTTGCTCATCCAAATTTTGAGGCATCAAAGGATGGTTCATTTATTGGCACCTCCTCCGCCCAAGTCCCAAACAACTTTAATTGCCTTGGGTGATGACTTGTCCCTTCCTACAATCTAGAGTTTAACTAATAAAGGCAACGAGAAAGAATTCCATAAAAGGGATATTTATTTCTCTATTCTTTATTATAATTATGCATTTTATAATGCATTCTTGAGTTCTATATACTATGCAGAGAGATCAGCCCTGTTGAATCTGAATGAAGCTCTGAGTGGTGATCTAGGTGGTGATGAGTGGATAATTAAAAGTGTTGATCGCCTTGAGCATAATGAAGATTGGATGTAGTTGAATGACTCAATGATGGGGGGATAACTAAATGGCTAACAAAAGGAATGCTATAATTGAGTTTGAAGGAAGTTATACTGTGCATACTCTCACTGTCGATGATGCTTTAGCTCATGCATAGGTGAAACTGCCACTGTTAAACTGTTCATTATCTAGCACAACTAGTCAGTGTGGAGCAGAAGATTGTGATATTGAAGTAGCCAGAGGATTTTTTTCAACAAAAGCTTATGGATGTAATGGAGACGTTCTTTTTGTCTTATGCTCAGGTGAATCTGACCGCTTGGGGCAATTCATATTCTAAGTCAAGTTGATGCTTAGGAGACTTATTCGAATGGGTCATCTTTTGATTGAAGCTATGCATGCGTCAGAACAAGTCAAATGAGTAAGATCCCTTGTTCAATTGAGCTCTTCCATCATATGTTCTCCCTGCGCTCATATCAAAAGGCATTCATTTTGGTCACATCGAAGAGTAAGATCCACTGTCATAGCCTAGAGAATAAGATGAAGGATTTTAAGTGCAAATTTTATTTTTCCTCGATGGAGTGGTCGGTTGATTGGGACAAGCCCTGCTTAGACACCTATGATAGCCAAAGTCGAAAACTCCTTAGGGCCTCCTGTTGTAAGCTTACTAGATCATGGTTGTGATAATAAGAGTTCTCAGGTAACTTGACCCAAATTGTCGTTATAGTGCTTGATACGGGTAACGATGTTCTCATGACTTATGTTGATTAGGAGTTTGTGTAAACCACTCAAAAAATAGTTGGATGAGGCTCTAACCAAGGAGGGCCGAGAGGGGAGGCTAGGCAAGGCTTGAATAGGTATGAGTGACTACTTTCATTTGATTATCCCTTCTATTATTGTTATTCAAAAAGTGAGAACATATGAGTTGATTCTTTTCAATAGAAGGGGGTACGTTACAAAACTTGCAGGTAAGTCTGTTTCACTTGCAGATACTTGATTCACATGTAATGATTCGAAAAGTGGTGGTTGGTGAAGGCGTGATGGGAAGTGATGGAGTGACTGATGGATCAGATTTTGATTAGTAGATGGAGGGGACCCATGGCATTATTGTTTCCCTATTGGCTCTAGAGCCGATCACCCTACCTCTCCTGTCACAAGTTGTCAACCTTGAGAGGGAGAGCTTTATGACTAGATTATCTCTTCCTAAATGTGAGGTGCTATTCTTTGGCAAGGAGGCAACTGGGAAGAATGCTGAAGTCGGTTCGCTTTAAGGAGCTTGAGGAAGAGGAGTGTGCCACTAGAAGGAGAGCCTTGTCAGAAGTGTAGGAAGTCAGTTGGTAATTGGAGGCCCTTACTAAAATGTGATCCGCATAACTGAGTGGAGATAGTGCGAAGAGTAGGAGCAGACACTACAACCTGGTGGATTTGTCCAAGGATTGGAATACCTCTTGTCCTCGCATTTCTCGGTATCGGTCACCCCTACCAAAAGGTGTTATCAGAGGCGGAGTTCAATGGAAAAGATTTGAGATCAAAAAAATATTCTCAGATTGGAGATCGTTTCAGAAAGATGTTTGTTTACATTTAATTTCCTCTATTTATAGTAATTGGCTTCCATAAAAGTGTATATTTGAGTCTCTCTTGTCCAAGCCTTCTAAGCATGTGACCCCCGGATTTATGCCGCCTCTTCTCATTCTGACTCTGGATCATAGAAGAGGTCAATTCTGAGTTGTACTGCTGAAATATGAGGGTTAAACTCCAGGTTTTGACTGATCATCTTTCAGCCCAGGATATGGATATTTGACTTGGATCGTTCGACCTCGGTTGTTCAACCTCAATTACCTAATATCAGTCGTTTGGTCTCAATTACCTGTCCTCAGTCCCTCGGCCTCAATTTACTGGCTTGAGTTGCTTGGTCTCGGGCATTCGACTTCCTTGACACTAGCAGCCACGTTCAACTGTCCAACTTTATACTATTGCTTGTCCGGAATAGCTTATATTGATGGATGGATTCTGAATCGTTTGATTTGCAATGACCTCGATCGTCGGACCCGCGCCAGTCCCTCGGCCTCAATTTACTGGCTTGAGTTGCTCGGTTTTGAGCGTTCGACTTCCTTGACTCTAGCAGCCACGTTCAACTGTCCAACTTTATTCTATTACTTGTCCGGAATAGCTTCTATTGATGGATGGATTCCGAACCGTTTGATTTGCAATGACCTTGATCGTCGGATCCGCGATGACTCGGAAAGCAGCTCTTTTGGCAATGGAACACTAATTCGCCACTAAAGATAGAAACCTTACCTCACCAAATCATGATATGTAAACATTAACCACATACAATCACTTAATCTGACCAGCACCAAAACAGTTCTTGTACATAACTACAACCCGTAACACAATAAGTGACTCAGTTTGAAAATGAACATTATATAATACGTTGTGCATTAATTTAGCTGGCAGTATCAAACATAATAAAATCAGTAACACCAATAGTAAAAAGCAATAATATTAACTTGTGAAGAAATTCAAACCATTAAGTCTAAACTACCTACATCAACCAGTTGAGATCGCGCCATGTTGCTCAGCAACATAAACCAAAATGAAAAAGAATGAATCCGACAATAATGAGAAAAAATGAACCTAATTGCACCATTCATGCATGTAAATAACCTAGTACCATCATTTTATTTCTCACCATATAACATCATATGTCAATATGCATTCCACCAATACTTTTACTACCTATTTTCAGGCTTGCTATAAGCAGTGGTCAGACTTGAAAGGTAGTGGAGAAAAAGAACTGGAACGCAAAAAGCAGCTAGTGCTTGATCTCCTGACCAGAAATGTGAAAGAGATCAAGAGCGGAGATACGATCGTCATGACCGGACTGGTGGTTCCACCTGCCTTGATGGTGCTGAAGAAGTCAAGCCAGAATGTGCCGCAGCTGAAACGGTTTCGAATTAATCTCGTGCCGGATATCGTCTTTGTTCCAACTCTGACAGTTGCTGCCCTCTTTACTGTAAAAGCGTTGCAGCTTAACTTGGGTAGCAAGACCAAGTGATGATGTAGTCATTGGCAGCTATTTATGTTCCATGCGAATATGTTAAGAATGCTTGTATGTGTCATTGCTTGTTAGTGCGATCGTCTAAAATTGAAATAATGATGCCTGCTAAGAAAGATGTGTGCTTTGCTTTCGGGAATGATACTTATGTTCTGCAGGATGGTTAAGAAATCTTCTAATGAGATGGGATTATCTTGCTTCCTTTAATGAAACGTTTAAATCAGTATTGTGAAGGAGAAATTAAATATGGGAATAGAGGAGGGTTTTATAGGATTGCTGATTGGACTCAAACCATAGTAAAATTATAAGTGTATTTTTATAAGGTTCTAAATCAATGAAAAAATTAAAGAGTCATGTATGGTGCACACAAATTTTAATTGGGTGGAATCTATATTGCATTTAGACCATAAATTTGCTTAAAATTTTTTAATAGATTTTTGAATATATATATATATATATATATATATAAATACATAATTGTGCAAAATAAAAATTATAGTTGGATATTAATTTTTAAGTTTGTATACAGATCTAAAACACATACAGAGAAATAAAAATTGAGAAAGGAGATTAGAGTTTTTATTAAAAGAATGAGCCAGGAAAAGGTGCCATGGGGCATGGATCAGTTCAAATGATACTATTATTATATGTCATAAGTTATAAATGACATTTTTCCTTAAAATTAGAGGAGTGATTATTATAATAAAGTTGACAAACTATGAAATTAAATTATGGGGTGATATTTGAAATATGGTAAAGGTATAGTTGTCAAGAGATTATCTATGGTGTGTTTGGTCATTCTTATTTGTATAAATGAGTCATAAGTTTTTAAAATTTAAGCATAACTTTGATGGGGATGGCATGTTTTAGCCTTATCGGAAATTACATCAATTGGTACTCTTGATGAGGATAGGCAATGAGGTTAGCAACTATTAGCATTAGTGTAGACAAGAGATCAACTTTATAAGTGATTGTGTGCATTAATTTTATAGGTGATGGCATGTGTCAATGATGTGCATTATTTGTATGGGTGTGGCAGGCTATGAAGTTGATAGGTGTTGGTGGTTAAGAGATCATTGATGGTTAGTAGAGATTTGATAATTTTAGGCAGGTAATTGTAGTTGAATAACAATGATCAAGTGATAGTAGTTAAATGATAGAGGTTTGACAATAGTTGTTTGGTGTCAGTGATAAAAAATAATAGTTAGGCAATAGTAGTTAGGTGATGGTTGTCGAATGATGAAGTTCAACTAATTGTAAATGAGCAATAATGGTTGATGACTGTATTTGAGAAATAATGATTTTGATTGTAGTGGGTGTCAAAGGTTAAATAATTATACTTGGGTCTCGTTGATTAAGTGCTATAATCAAGCAAACCTAATCTTTCAACTATAGATGGGAAATAATTGTATATGAATCAAAATTTGAATATAAAATGAACACCTAAAATATTAATCGCTTGAATTTAAAACACCCTTAGAGTGAAATTAAACCTAAAAGAAAATTATGCTAGAAACTCACCATAATCATTACAATCATTTATTAGGATCATTTACCTTATTATTATTATTATTATTTTTATTATTAGGATCATTTACCTTATTATTATTATTATTTTGGTTATGTTGTGTTTGTGCTGCTATGATGATGGGTTTTTTGTGATTCTGAGGTGATGAGTGTAGAATGAATGTTTAGGAATGGATGGCAATGCATAGGGAGCAGAATTAATTATAAAAAATCCTTCAAGCTAGTAAGTTTACTTATAAATTCTAAATGTTTAAGCAAAAAATCATGACCAGAAAGACATATAGCTTAGTACGTGTATGTGATGGGATTTGCGTGTGCGAATGAATTAACTTATCCTAATAGCATCTATTTTATAGGTGTTATTTGAATTTTATTTTAGAAAGTGTAATTTTAATTTTTTTTTAGAAGTAGAATTGAGTCGAAGCATGTGAGATTAGGATGAACGAGAATGAGACATTCAATACTCAATGACATCTTATGCTTCACAGAGGACTTACAAGAAGAAAAAAATGAAAACTCACATGCTAATACTTATTGAACTAGGTTTGACAATATAAAAGCAACAATCAGTGATATCCAACAACATTTATTTTATTTTCTTATGTTTTTTGACATATTTATTTTATTTGCTCATAAGAAGTACTTTTTTATAAGTCATTTATTAATTATTCAAAGCATGGTTGTTTCATATTAGGCTCCCAAGATAAATTATCTTATTTGAACAAAATAAAAAAAAAAAAAACATAACAACTAAAATAAACCAACAACCTTTATCCAACTAACCATATGCATGCATATTAATTTTTCTCCATATTTTTCATATGCTTGTCCAATACACACCATCTAACCTAAATGGATATGTGATACTTCTCAAGAGAATTGTACTAAAATTTTAGATTTAACTATACTTTAAATTTTTGTGAAATTAAGTGCATATAAAATTAACCAACTAAAAATTAATTCATTAAGTGTAATGAATACCCCCTCGTAGTTTCATAGCTTGACCTATGTTGTTGACTTGTAAGTCTCGACAAGCTTCTTAATGAAATAATAGCCTCACCCATCTTATTCTTTTTGTGACTAGATAACATGGAATTGTGACTTCTAGGTTGGTTAAATTGCCTTCCTAATTAAAGGTTTAAGTTTGTTAAAATTGGGCTTGTAGATTCCAAAATTTTAGAATCATTATTTTTATGATCAGGTCCTTCGTCAAAATATATATTCATCTTTTGAATTAATACATTCTGACCAATGTCACATCTAATCTACAAAATATGAAGTTTTATAACTTGTGTGATTTATAATAGTTTTGACCATTGGTTATATAATTGATGGAGGGTAATAAAGTTAATAGATGTTGGTGGTTAAAAGACTATAGTCATGCAACACTAATCAGATGATTATAGTTAGGCAGTGAAGGTTAGACAATTGAGCTGTGTTAATCATGGTTATAAATGATGGTTTAAAGAGTATAGATAGGTGATAAAGCTCGATCAACCATGGCCAAATGTTTATGTTTGGGTGCATTATTAGATAATAAAGGTCTAACAACCACAAACTAAAAAAAGTGGCCATGCGACTACAGATGAAAAAGTTTTAGTGATGCTAGTAAGGCGTTGATGATCATGAAATTTTAGTTTATCGTGGCTTGTTGATTAACCATACTGCAGTGGTTAATATGACTATAAACGAGTGATGGATGCAAGTGACCATAGTTGGGTGTCTATAATAATTTGGTGGTAGTTGATGGATAATGGAAATTTAGTGATGGTGGGCCAACCTAGAAGTAGAGGAGTTTTCATAATGATGGATGGGGTAGTGTAGTTCCTCAATAATGGATAAATGGTAGCATTCCCATGATGGTGGACAAACAATCATAATTTGATAATGGTGGTTTGTTTCTAGTAATGACTCAATGATGAAGGTTGGGTCATAACAATGACCTTAAAGGGATTTGAAGCTAGTGGTGGAATGATGATGATCTGAGGATGGTAGACGAGAAACTTATTCTATGTCAAAATTTTAGTGGCATGAGCCTAATAAAAGTAAATGGGCGGTGACTATTTTATGTTGGTGGATGGGCGATAATGGTTAGATGATGGTGGATGAAATATGATAGTAAAATAATAGTGGATGAGTAGCAATAGTCAAGGTTATTATACGAGCAATGTTGAAAGTCTGGCAAAGGTGGATGGATATTGACAGTCTAATGATAATAAACATGGTGGAAATCCAATAATAGTTATTGTGTGATGATGACAATTTGATAGTGTTGGATGAGCGATGATATTTAGACAAAAATATTATGACAATTTGATAGTGTTGGATGAGCGATGATATTCAGACAAAAATATCCAAATGTTGTTTGCCCAATGATATATTGAGGAGAAGAGAAAAGTAAAATAATATTAAAATTATGTTCAAAATTACTTTAATTTACATATTTTAGATTCTAATTTAAGCTCTTTTAGACATAAATTTCATTAGTGAAGATCGAAGAGACATTGGAGAATATGTCTCTATAAAGTCATTGTACTATATAGTCTAAATAAGAGCAAAAAAGCTAAAAGCATAGTGCTCCAATGTTGTATCTTTAACAATGAAGTGATGGATGAGTGTAAACATAGTACAGTTAATGGCACTGTCATGCTGATCAAGAGAATGTTTTGAATGGAACTGAGGACATGGCATCACAGTGCTAGAATTTTGTGTCGCTACATTAAAACATTTAGAAAGTGGTTCAATATAGAGCACGGTTCCTTAGAATCATATTTCAGAATAATTTTATGCTAGAAAAGACCAATTCATGCCAATAATTTTGAGATCATAACTTCACAGTGCTATGGCCTAATGTCATAGTGTTACAACGCTACTAAGCAATGTTGTAATGTGATGGCCCTAACCATTCAATTTTTAGTAAAATTATTTGAATGATTGGGATTTATGGTGGTGGATTGAAGAACTAAGATAATAGGGTTAGGAAGAGAAGGAGAAAATTAAGTTGAAGGTAGTAGTGCATGGTGTGTATTTTTGGAGAGTAGGGAGTAGATTGTAGAGTGTGAGTGAGTGACAAGTGCTTTCATTATACTTAGGAGTGAAAGAGAAAGAGAGAGTATTGAGTAGAGAAGAGAATTCAAATGATAGAATTGCACAAGAAAGCAGGATAAGTGGAATTAGAATTAGAAGATCGCATTCCAAAATTTTATTTATTATTTTAAATTATTTTGGTGTAATATTTTATGTTTGAGTTTTTTTATTTTTTTATTGATATGAACTGTGTTTTTTTCTAAACTTATGGTGATCTAAAAAATCTATGTACTTGTTGAGTTGGTTTTATTAAATAAAATTGTCTAACTTTTTGTTTTACTTTACTCTTGTGTTTTGGCAATTCACATATTAAAACCTAGTGAGAACTATGTATCAAAAGTGACATAGTGAAACATATAACATGAAATAAATAAAGTTTGATTATATATGTATATATTATTTATTGATTTTAATTTATAAGAAATATTCAACATGCAATTATTTAAACTAATTATGATAGAAAAATGCCTATTTAGTTGAGTTGATTAATATTTTTAGTTATCAACAAATACTAGAGATAAATACATTATTTAATATAAATATGTTTCAAGAAAAAATTTCATACAAAAAATTTCATACAAAAAATTTCATAG